CCATGTGGCTTCAAGCTACTAGAACGCAGGCGCCCCTGACACCCTTAATCTTCTCTTCTGCTCTTCTACTGAAGAATTTGGCCTTCAGGATGACAGGCTGTTTTGGGAGTTCTCCCTTTCCCAAAACTTTGTAGTAGCCCGATCGCACCACATCAATGATAGGAGCAGCTCCAGTCTTGTTTTTGGCGGCATTTACCCGTGTCTGCTCACTGACCAAGGTCCACAGTTTATCAAGGCTGACAGTTGGGCAGAAGCTCTGATTCCTCTTTAAGTGGTAATGTCTCCTACCAACTTTTCCAAAGTAACCTGGGTGATACTTGTCAAAATTGATCCTGTGGTGATGCACGCCACCAGCATTACCCCGGCCTCCTGGGTACTTCCGGTGCTTGCCGATGCGGCCGTGGCCGTGGCTCACGTGGCCCGGAAGTTTCCGGGTCTTCCTCAGTCTGGATGGCATGTCGGCAGCCCAGATGGAAAAGCTTTCTAAACGCTTTTAACAGCATTTTTGTAACACATTTAATTAAAAAATAAAATCTCATTCAACACCACCCTCTCTACCTTCTTTTTTATATCCTACTTTCCGTATCTGCAGGAAATAGGGGGAAGGTGCCAAAAAAGAATCCTTGTACTTCCCTTCAAATCAAGAGAAGGCCTGATGACTCCATACACAGGATTTGTGCTTCAGACACACTGTTAACTTGCCTCAACATACAGGCAAATAATTTGCCACAGACTGAAATATTGCTCTATTTAAATCAACTTCCTGCCTATTAATAGCTGTGAAACACTAGAACATATTACTGTACCAGTAAAGCCTTATGCCTGCCTCTTTTTAAAATGAGACAACACACAAATACATACAGAGTTTCATACAAACATAACATTGCAGAATCCCCTTTAAGAATTTAAAGAGCAAAATCAACAGTCTGAATTGATTTGAAGGTAGAAGTAAGGACCAAGTGAATTTATAATGGCCCTTCATGTGCCAAGATTCCGTCCTTTTACTTGTTTGATTTATGTCCACATTCCTTCATTGCCTTTGTACTAACAATAGCAGCAGTATTTCCTGGAGCCATTTATTTACTTGATAATTTCCTGCTTACCTCTGGCATCTCCTTGCTCTTTGCTCCATCTCCACCTATGCAAATACACACAGACACAGGGACAAATGGCTGCAAATACTTAGGGATTTGCAGTGCAAAGGAAATAACACATAACTTCCTCCCTCCTTCCCTACCTCCTTCTCTCTCTCTCTGTCTCCCTCTCTCTCTCTCTCCTCCCTCCCTCCCTTTCCCTCTCTCTCTCTTTTATGTTGTGTGATCCATTCATCATTCTGTATAATTAGGCAAATAAAAAGCTATCTTTGTTTTGAATTGATTTGCTATTCTTTTCAGATTCATTATGTGCCTAGCTTCAAGAAAAAGCATGGTACCTTTGCAGCATCTGATTCATCAGGAAATTCCTCTGCCACAACGTGTGGGTGGGGAGAACATTTGGTGATGTGATCCAGATGCACAGGCTGCCCTTCCCAGGAATGCAGCTGTGTTTTATATGCACATGCCCAGATGGTGACCCCTCTGGCATTATTAATGTGTCCCAGCTGCCAGGCCTCCTCCTTTGCATGCATGCACCTCGATTTCACATATTTTGTGTATTTATTTATGAGGCACCAAATTCCTACATTTCATATGTGGCAGTTGATATTAAAAAGGAAAAGTTTTAACTGCTCTGGAAATTGATGAAGAATCTTTTAAACTGATATGAAATGTGGCCCTCATTTCAAAATGACCTCTACAATTATTGAATCCCTAATGCACGTTTCTGATCTTTCCTCTTACGTGTTGAGAAAATACGGCACTTTAAAGATAGTTAAGAAATTACATATTTGCATTCCTGATATAATGGTTTTTTGCTTTTCTATTATTTCTGATCTCTCGGGCCTATTTTTAAAAAGTACTGTTTGTATACATTTGAACATTGTTATTCATTGCTAATTAAACCCAGGCATCAAGAGAAATTTGGGATCTTCTAGAAATGGGTTGTACTTATAGATTCACAAGGAGAACTAGTATTATAAAAATATAATCCAATCATTGCTCCAAAATATTATAGATTATAATAACTCCATGGATTTGAGGAAATGTATTAGTCTTGTCTATTTTGCCTTATGATCTAAAGTATAAAATATAGAGGCATGGGAGTTTGCTGAATTAAAACAAACTGACTCTTACTATTTTTTTAAAATTCAGGATTTTAATGGGGGAAATGTAAAGATGAATCAAATTGGGGTTTGTTTGTTTGTTTTTCAAATTTCTACTTAAATTCTAGTTAGTTAACATACAGTGCAATGTTGGTTTCAGGTGTAGAATTCAATGATTCATCACCTACATACAGTACCCTGAGCTCAAGATCAATCGAACTGTTAAGACAGAAAGATGAAAAATGCTAAAGACAGATGATCAGATTTTGAAAGATGGAGTTCATGTCCATTTTCTTTTTAATATCAGAAGTAATGAACTAAAAAAGCCAGAAAACATATCATTTATCATAGATAACTATCTCCAAAATCAGCTATAGGAAATAAATGAACCAAATACTGGTGTGATCTTCTTTTAAGGCACCGCACACCTTTACTATCAAGAGCAGAGGGTCACAGTTACTAGTGCTGAGTGCTAAAGTAGGTCTGTGTTGAGTCTTACTTGGTATGTGGTTTCTGGCCCTCAGGAACAGTCTTCTACTTCCTTCCGTAAAGCCTGTCTGTCCTATTTAGATATATATTCATCTTGACTTCATAAATAAAGGTGCTAACTCATGTATTCACTATAACCACACTCAGGAGGTAGGGTAGAAAATTAAAGCGATTATAAGCATACCCCAGAGATATGGTAGGTTCGGTTGCAGACCACCACAATAAAGCAAGTATCACAAGAGAGCGAGTCCAATGAATTTTTTGGTTTTCCAGTGCATATCATAGCTATGTTCACACTATCCAGTAGTCTATTAAGTGTGTAATAGCCTTACATCTAAAAAAACAATGTACATACCTTAATTAGAAAATATTGCTAAAACAATGCTGTCACCTGAGCTTTCAGTGAGTTATAATCACTGATCACAGATCACCGTAACAAATATAATAATGAAAAGGCCTGAAATGTTGCCAGATTTACCAAAATGTGACACAGAACCACAAAGCGAGCAAATGCTGCTGGAAACATGTTGGACGCAGGATTGCTACAAACCTTCCATTTGTAGGAACATAGTATCTGCGAAGCCTGATGAAAGGAGGCATGTCTGCATCTGACTAATTCAGGCCAGAGTAAAGAATACTCTTCCCTGAAAGTCCTGCCTGGAATTTGAAAACATAAAAAGGAGGTTATAGGGATACTTTCTCCCGCAAACGCTCCAGATAGTCCCCTCAGATTGGTTCCATGTGTAATTTTGCTCAAGTACATGTGTTCAGTAACAACCCTAGTGTTCTCCCAAAGATTTAGGGCAACTCTCAAAAGACTTCAGATCAGGTCGTTTATGGGGACGAAGCAATAAAAAAAATGAAAAACCTCAGAAGTGTCTTCTTATTTGATGTGGAAAGAGGAATGGCTGTGGCCTTTTCTTTTTCACGGACATCTTGAAGTCTTATCACATAATTTTGGTTCTTGACCTTAAGGCTATTACAACTGAGACCTTATTAAAGGACCCAAAAAATATATCCAGAGGCTTTTTTTTTCTAAGCTGCCTCCTTTTATCACAAAGATGAAGAAAGTAATAAAAATAATTAAAAAATTTTAAAAATGACATCAGTCTTTGTTCTACTCAGATGACAAATGTATGAAATGCGTGCTCTAACAACTCCTTCCACATTCACAGGCAGACATAATTAACCAATCATGGTACTCTTTACACCAGGCCCCGGGGTTCAGAATCCCCCTCAGCAGAGCATTGCCCGGTGCCACCACCAACGAACGTCCGCACCTGAGACAAACCCTCTTTGCCATCTCCCTCTTACGTTGGTGCTGAGCAAATCATAGGTGGTTAGTCTGCATGTGATCAAACATAAAAGATCTTAGGTTTTGGCTATTGTTTAAACCTATCTGCTTTTCACAAGAGAAGGGATAGCTGGTATTCAGCCTGATCTAAGGAATGGGCATGTCACTGTGGTAACCATATCAAGTTGACGCATGAGCCGGCAGCTCAGTCCCTCCTGTTTCTGCCACATGGGGTTGGGGCCAGCCAACTTAACCCTCTGAAGGCCGCTCGCACTCAGGTCAGTGGTAAAGGCCGCAAGGAGTTACACACAGATGAACAGGAAAGAGTCTGCTCCACATCTTGGCTTGCCTGGAAGAGGCACCAGTACCTAAAAAGGAAAGGCCAGAAACAAAAAGATGGGCTGCATATCGAATAGTCCAGGGGGTGAGGGGGTCCCACAGTTGGGACTCCAGGGTTAACCCTGCAGGATGTACTGGGGTAGCAGGCAAAAGAGGTCCCAGAAGCTGCTGTGACGTCACTTCCTCCTTTGACATCACTGTGCATTTGTACATGTGCTCATGATAGAAGAAACAGCCGCTTGGCTCCCTGTATTACATACTGTTTCCAGAGCACTTTCCCATCTGTGATGGTTTGATCCCCACCTCAGTCAGCACAGGCAAGCAGGGCAGGCATTGTTATCCCCTATGTTACAACAAAAGTGAGGCTCATTTGTCCAAAGTCACTTAGCTTTTGAAGCCCAAAGTTGCTTTCATCTGAAATATCTAGGTGAAAAGAGGTAAAAAAAAAAAAAAATATTTTGGGTTCTTTCCCATTTGAATTTTCAGAGGATCATACCAAGTCCCTCCAAAACTTTGCATGTATAGAAGAGCTTACAGCTGGATGGTGAGCTAGTTGCGTGTTATAGACGGGATGGCAGAGGTGGTTTCCCCAGAGTAGCTTCAGAATCATTTACTAGTGGACTTGACATTCTGGGCCCTCAGTCATTGAAAGAGACTTTCTGTTCATTTTTCTGACAGCTGGTGACACTGTTGCAGATGTGGGTTGTCCCTCTCTATTTCACAATAAAGCTTTACTGGTGGCGGTTTCTGTCTATGTGGGGAATGTTCTCCGTTATTACCAGTTACATCCTCTTCAAAGCTACCCGAAAACCGCTCTCAGGGAGAACACCAAGGTATGTATTCCATTCGTCCCTTCTCTGACATCCTCTTTATTGTAAGCACTAAGAAGTATACTTTAATTCCATTTTCCCGGGTGGGGAAGGAGGGCATTACACTTCTTTTGCCTTCAGTAGCAAAACTATTTAGAGATTAGCTATACTGCTGTTAGTTCATGTTCATTATTTAATGGAGACTCAGACACACCTATAACACTTATTACTTCAGATGAAAGCCAGAAGAAAGAGAAGTGAAAGTATTGTTTAAACTTTCTAGAGCACTATTTGCATATTTATTTTCAGCTCAGCATTTTGTTTGACTCCATATAAGTTGGGTTACACACATTTTTATAATAGAGCAAGAATTAGATGTTTGTATTTCTAATAACTATGTATTTTATATCGGATAAATCATAAGCAATGGACAACGTATTCCTCTCATAACAAATGAGGCTTTAATATTCCAATGATCATCTTAATTACCATTGCCAACTTCTTGACATTTCTATAATTCCATCATATTGTCTACAAATCTTTCCAAAGTGCTTATAATCTTATAATGTACCCCTACGTTTGCTTTTGCTCTCTTTGTTCTCTAGATAAAAATCTGAATCTGAATCTAGATAAAATTGAAATAGGATAAAGAGAAAATGTGTGAAGTGTTACATGGTAATAGGACAATGTCAAATTTTGATCTTTGTTGAAGAATAAATCATAAGCTCCTGTGAAATGTTTTTATGAGTATTTAGCCATTCAGATGTTTGTTCTTAATCCTCTAAAAAAGTGGGAGAGACAAATATCAACTTTTCCTTCTACTTTGGAGAAGATAAAGTATGCGGTGAGAAATCAGATAAATAAATGTAATGATAAAGATTAATCTTCAAAGGCCTCTTGGCTGGCTCAACTGGAAGAGCATGTGACTCTTGATCTCAGGGTCATGAGTTCAAGCCCCATGCTGGATGTAGAGATGGCTTAAAAAAGTAATTTCTTAAAAAGATTGATATTCAAATAAATTCAGGTTGATATTTTAATTTAATCCCACTTTGGGAAGAGCTTTGGGGTGGTGTTAGGAGACCTCCCAAACTGGCCAGTTTGGGGTTTTAGACAGTCTTTGTATGGCCTGGCTTGCCCATCAGCACACGGACATATGGCACACTTTCTCCTTAAAAAATGTTGTCAGTTACTTAAGACTTGTGGAAGTGATCCAAATTTTGGATGAACCAAAATGTACTTGTTTTCATTCCCTGGATATAATCTATACTGTATTTCAGTGAGACTAGTTCACTTCTCCACTTAGAATGAATCACCCAGGTAAACACAGTATTTCTGTGCATCTCAGCTCATTCAGTGCAGAGGAACGTCATGACAAGGAATACGCAAATGATGCCTCGTTACACTCCACGCCTCATTTATCCCAGATGGCCAGGGGCCCTTGCCCTTCGTGCACCCCCTTCAGCTTCTTCTGCCTGCAAGCTCTGAGCCCTGGCAGAGCCTGAGAGCCAACACGCCCCACTAACGTTTAAGGAAAGACCTAGCCACCATTTGAAGAGATGACAATGGGAAAGGCTAATTAGGATCCCTTTTCTTCTAGATGAAGCAGTCTGGATAAAGTTCTTGTTTAGGAGAGGTAGCAGGTCCTAAAGATCTTTATGGATCTTTGTTTAATCATCATATTATAGGTAAGTCACTTCTTAGGTATTTTCCATTTGGAAACAGGATTTCATTACAGGCTAGGAAAACTGGTCAGAGCGAATCAGCATGGTGCAAAGGCAAACCCAAGGGGAGGGGTCCCCTGCACCGATGCGGTTTAAAACCCGGCTGTTCCTCCCCCAGAGTATATCAAGCCCTCACTGTGGGTCAGAATAACAGAGAAGGGGAAGTGAGGTTCCTCTCTACCGCATAGGGTTCAGGCTCAAAAACAGGCCACAAACCGGCCACAAAGAGCCTGGCTTGCCCACATCAATTGCAGGCCAAGCTGTCCTTTGTGGAGGCTGAAGCCCTCATCTGGTTTCTCTGCCTTCCAGTTATAATCTAAGTAGCAAGGGGGTTCTGGGCTCTAGTGTTCTAGAAACGTGTACCCCCAATAAGCAGGAAGATCTGGGGGTGGCGGGGATTTGGAAAATCTAACACATCTGTAATAATTACATGACATACTAAGCCTTGACTGTGTCGAGGCTTTTGCACATGAACACAACCTTCGGAACTACCCTAGGAGCTAGTGTCGTCATCCGCACCTTATAAATGGGGCAATCGTAGGAAGTAGTGGCCAGTGTCCCACAGCAGTCACGGGGAGGGGGAGTCCAGAATCATACCAAAGACTACCAGAATGCAAAACCCCTGCTCCCAACATCATGCTCTGTCTTCACGACGTCAACAAATCGCTTGGCACAGAGAAACCCGGCAGTTCAAAAAGTCAGGCACGCCTGAGGTGCCGGCACAACCTTGAGAGGGGCCCCTCAAGGTGCGGAGAGGGTACGTTGAGTCGGAGTACGCGTGGGGTTCTAGGACCCCCACTCTGGTGCGGGCGGGTGCTGTGGGGGCGGAGGGGGAGGCCCTCTCAGAGCTGGCGGCTCTCCACAACGTCACCCCTTTTAGCAACGTAAACTTCCTCCTCCACCAGGCTGCACTAAGCAGTGATCCAGACTGCTAGGCCCTGGCAAATCAAAAGGATCGGCAGCCCAAGGAGTCACTGTGGCAGAAAGACCCCCCCACACACAGAACCCTCTCTGGCCCCTTTTAGAGATGACAAAGGGCTCAGAGCGACTTGACCCACCTTGTGCAGCATCTGCGAGTTTCCGAGTTTCCGGCTCCACGGAACTCCCCTGGGTGGACCCGTCCCGCAGGGCGGGATTACACCTGCAGGAGGAGAGGAGGGGGCGTGGCCCACATAGCCCTGCTAGCCACTTGCCTGAAGTGGGGAAACCTTTCACCCATAGAAACGATCTGAATGACAACTCCTGTCTCAAGCCAGCCCACCAACTCCCATGTAAAGCATCATGTTTCAGAAGGTCCCTTGGGCCTGGAATTCAATGAAGCAGGGCATCTTTTAAAATAACCTCGAAACATTGCATCAGTAATATCATAGAACGTAAGCATTTGGAGCAATGGCTCCAACAGGGAGGAAGCCGGGAGAGGTGAGAGAGTTGGAGGCAGGGCTCCAGAGGTGGGAGGTGAGACGGTGTGGTAAAGTCTCTGGAGTGCGAGTCTGAGTGAAGAGCGCTGTGAAAGGCAGGAACAGGGGCTTCTGAGAACCAGAGGGAAAGAGCTGAGAGACAAACAGGGCCTCCTTCTTGGTAGTAACAGTCCAGCCACCCCCTTCTTTTCTCTGGGCGCCAAGGACAGCACCCAGCTGCTCCTTCTCCTTCTACCACCTCTTCTAGTTCCAGGGGGCAGAACCTTGCCCTGTGACACATGCCCAGTGGGTCTGGGCTCCCCACCTCTTCCCACATCCTCCCAGGCATGAAGCAGCCACGCAGGTCCTTCTGTAGTTTTTCTAAGGGCTTTTACTGACAGGGATAAGGGAAACAAACAGGGTATGGGGCTCCCTTCTAGATCATCTATACCCTTCCCCTCTATCCCCAATCTCCCACTTCTCCATTTCAACCCCGTGGGAAGAAGGAAAGGCATTAACGGTGGTCATGGTACATGCTGGGATACACAGAAGACCGATCCACATAGCAGGAGGCTCACTCGTGATTCCATCCCAGGGCTAGGGGAGGAGCTCTGTGAGTGGAGAGGACTTGGGATGAGGCTGAGCTCACTACCAACGACATCTGCCCTGGGGCTGCGGGGTGGAGGGGCAGCAGGAGCAGGAGGGGGCAGAAACTCCTGGGGGAGGAGGTCCCGTCCTCCTGACTTCTCTGCTCATCTTTTGCTTACCTCCAAGCTACTCCTGCCAAAGCCACTCTAAGCTAACCCTAGGGCCAAAAAAGAGATGCGGAGGCAGGGTCCCGGATAGAGAAACCATCCCTGAAGATCACTCTTATTTGAGGAACATAGATAAGTTACAATGAATTTGTATATGCGTGTGCATACTATTTATATAGTTTGTTGATGTATTAAAACTGTAGATTATTATGGAGTTTAGCAGATATAAACTACTGGTGTATATCACATGAAAAATAGAATTCTAGAAATTAAAAACTGACTTACAAAAATGTTTGAGGAAGATAAAATACTTTATAATATATCATGTTCTGTATTTCTCCCCATTTTACACTCCACAGATTGGTCTACAAATGGTTTCTTCTAATCTACAAACTCAGCTATGCATTTGGTGTTGTGGGTTATTTGGCTATCATGTTTACAATGTGTGGATTCAATTTATTTTTCCGGTAAGTATCTCCAATTAAGACCTTAATATCTCCAAGCACTTGTGCGCCACATTCGCCTGGCCACATTCTCTGTATCTGGAAGTATTTGGCCCTATGATGTTCCATGCCCACATTGTTTGTAGCAGATATCATTGGTAGAGTAAATGTCATTGGTGGAAACAACTAGAAAAGTATAAGAGGAAACCCTAGAGAATAAAAAATTTTCACAATTTATAAGCTTTAAAGAAAATCTGTACTATCTGATAGGCAAATTTTAAAGATCGCCATTAAAATTAGGCTTACATTTGTGGTAGAGTAATTCTTACTGAACTACAAATTTCCCCTCCATAAAATTCTGAAGTGTCATTTCCTTGTATGTATCTTCTTTCTTAAAACCTCTAGAACTATGCTGTCCAGTGCAATATATGATAGATCATGTGGCTATTGAGCACCTGGAATATGAAATAAAGTGTTTTGCAACTATAAAATACACACTAGATTTCAAAGTATGAAAAAATAATTTTTATATTGACTACATGTTGAACTACAGTGGGGTGTATTGGTGAAATTATTTCCTGTTTCTTTTTAATGTGGCTACTAGGAGACTTTTTATTTTATTTATTTATTTGACAGAGAAAGAGAGCACAAGTAGGCAGAGCGGTAGGCAGAGGGTGAGGGAGAAGCAGGCTCCCCGCTGAGCAGGGAGCCCGATGCGGGGCTCGATCCCAGGACCCTGGGATCATGACCCGAGCCGAAGGCAGACGCTTAACCAACTGAACCACCCAGGCACCCCTAGGAAATTTTTAATCTATATTTCTGTATTGCCATGGACAGCACTGCTCTAGAATTTTGTTTCTGGTACCCATGAAATCCCTTTTCCTGAGGACAGTCAGAAAAGGACAAAACTAAGTGTTTAGAACTTGAGTGAGAGGTAAGGAGATAACAGCAAGAAAGTCTTGGGAGCAGTCAAGGAAATCAGGATAATCGTAACTCAGAACAGAGCTCCCACCAGAAGGATGGTTGCTGAGATGTGCTGTGGATGAAGGTTCTCCTGGGCAGAGCCATGGCCGTGTAATCAACCTGTGGTCTGGAAAGGGAATTTACGACCTACCACACAGCTGTGGGAAGCAGCTCAAATAAAAAATTCCCCAGAATATCTCTCACATCGAAGTTCCTCTAAGTCTCTGGGACCTTAACAGAAATTGAAAGGCAGAGATTGGCGACCCTTAACTCATAAAATAGGGAAGGAAATTGGATGGAGTGTCAGCCCTGAGGGGAAGGACTCTTCCTATGGCAACATCACTGATTTTATAAGCATTTCATGTCACTTTCAGAGCAGGAGCTCCCACCATTTTCTAGCAGGAAAGGGATAGAAAGTAATTGTACAGATCTATGATTTCTATATAATTTTGTGTACGGAAAGACACTGGTTTCCTTTTTCAGCATACCATCTAATAACTTTGTTTTAGTGACTGTAAAAATATTCATAAGGATTTTATGAAATCACTGAGCCTATAGTTGTCCCAAGACTATTTTCCATAAGATTGTAAGATCCTTAGCCATGACTTCTCCTACAATGAGGCACACCAAGAACTTAACCCTTCAAGGCTGGGAAGGAACTATTTTTTCACTCCTTAGTGTTACTGACTATCACTGTTTTAAGATTCTTTTCTGTGGAACCACAAATCTGTCACTATACTTTTTATCAGTTAGATTATAATACATCCTCCCCTGAACATGGAGAGAAGATAATCTTCATTCCTCCCCATTGCCCCAATTCTCAAATATACTCAGGCAAACCTTGAGAGAATAAAGCCATCATTTGTGTTGGAATTCCCAATTCACATCACCAAAAGATCTGTACCTCGAAGTCTACAAAGCTCTCTGCCTGTACCATTTCCTCCTCAAACTAACAGCACAGAACAACCAGAAAAGGTTTTTAGAGACAGACTACCCAGCTCCCCTCCACTTCTCACTCGCTGCCTGACTCAATCAGATCCTACCCAGGTGCAGAGCTAATATTTGAAACTGTTGACGGATATAACAAACCATATGTACAATGATTAAGATTCATTAAATTAGGAGGTAATTACATTAGGGGCTGATTGTTTTTTTGTTTTTGCTTTTTTTTTTTTTTTGACACAGAGAGGGAGAGAGCACAAGCAGGGGGAGTGGGAGAGGGAGAAGCAGATTACCCGCTGAGCAGGGAGCCCGATGCGGGGCTCGATCCCAGGACCCTGGGATCATGACCTGAGCTGGAGGCAGACGTTTAACGACTGAGCCACCCAGGCGCCCCTGATTGTTCACTTCTTAAAGAAATATTTCCCTTAAAAATGGGGTGGGGATGGGGCGCCTGGGTGGCTCAGTGGGTTAAGCGTCTGCCTTAGCACAGGTCATGATCCCAGGCTCCCTGCTCAGCAGGGAGCCTGCTTCTCCCTCTCCCTCTGCCCCTCCCCTGCTTGTGCTCTCTTTCTCTAATAAATAAATAAAATCTTTTTAAAAATTGGGGTGGGGGTTATCATAGAGAATCCTATTATATTTGAAATATGATCCAACTTGCAAAAATTTTTTTCTGATTAATACACAGCAACTACGGCACAGTAGCCAAGGGCCTCAAAATTGGAGCTTGAGCCCTAGTACCAATTGTCATGTTAAGCATATCATTTCTTCTAAATCTCCACTTTTTCAAATGCAAAGTGGGGATAATCCTATCTACCTCCAGCATTTGTTAGGGAAGTAAACTTTTGAAAGCCTTCTGTAAGATCTAAGTTTGATAGCAGGGATTCCCAACCTGAGGAACTTCTAAAAAGCAATGCTCTGCAGACCCCACCCCAGGCCACTTACAGTTCAGCTCCTGATCAGCAGTCTTAAATCTCCCCCAGGTGATTCTAATCTATATTGAAGGCTGAGAACCACTGCTCTATTAAGGAGGTTCTTAAGGTTAGCTGCCCACTGGAATCACCTGGCTCTGGAGAGGTTCCAAAAATATTGCTGCCCAGGCTTCACCCCCAGAGAGTCTGATGTCATTGGTCTGGGGTTCAGGGGGCACAGTTTTATAAGCTGCCCAGGCCTTTCTTTGCACAGCCCAGCTTGAGAACTGCTAGTTAGAAGACCCTCTCAAGAATTACTTTGTCCACTTGTCACTGAGTAGTAAAATCTGAGGGGAATTTAGAGAATTTAAAATTCTTTAAAAAAAATTTTTTTAAATCAAGTAATCAAATTTCTGTTAGATACCCTGGCAGGAAATGTCCTCTAAGCTGCAGCCCTTCCCGAGCCCCCCAAATGCCACGTTCTTATTTTACCTTACACTGTTGTTTTCAATAGAATCAAGGCTAGAGATTCCATGGATTTTGGCATCGTATCCTTGTTCTATGGCCTCTACTATGGTGTAATGGGGAGAGACTTTGCAGAGATCTGCTCGGATTACATGGCCTCTACGATAGGGGTGAGTGTTGCTTTCATTCTCTGAAACCACTACAGCACACAGAGAAATGGTCTCATCTTACACGTTTGCATCCGTTTTCAGAAATACATCGATCTTTTTTGGTTCTCCCAGGCCAGCTGCTCCCTGATTCTCCTTGCATCAAAAATTATCTTTGTTGGGCGCCTGGGTGGCTCAGTTGGTTAAGCGACTGCCTTCGGCTCAGGTCATGATCCTGGAGTCCCGGGATCGAGTCCCACATCAGGCTCCCTGCTCAGCAGGGAGTCTGCTTCTCCCTCTGACCCTCCTCCCTCTCATGCTGTCTCTCATTCTCTCTCTCGCAAATAAATAAAATCTTAAAAAAAAATAAAATAAAATAAATTATCTTTGCTAATTGCTTTAAAAATATACTCCTTATTTATATAAAGTGGTTGGGAAATAAGGCATCTCATCTTTTTATTTATTTATTTATGTTTAAGTCATCTTTACACCACCATGGGGCTCAAACTCACAACCCTGAGGTCAAGAGTCACATGCTCTACCGACTAGGCCAGCCAGGCACCCCCAAAGGCCTCTTTTTAAATAAAATAATTATTTGGAAGCAACCATATCTAGCATACTCCAATTGCCAACATTGAAAGGATTAGTAGGGGTGCCTGGGTGGCTCAGTCGGTTAAGCGTCCAACTCTTGATTTCAGCTCAGGTCATGATCTCAGGATTGTGAGATCGGGTCCCACGTTGGACTCCGTGCTGGCCATGGAGCCTGCTTCAGATTCTCTCTCTCCCTCTCCCTCTGTCCCGCCTCCCATCTCTCTAAAAAAAAACAAAGGAAAGGATTAGGAAAAATTTAATAATAATAAAAACCTTTCTATCTGCCTAACACAGAAAGTCATATTTGATGCACATAAAGTACTCTGGACTCCATCAGTGCCTCAGGGTTACTCCTCATAAAGATCAGTTATCATTATACAGCATTAGAAGTAGAAGATACAAAAACTGTGCCAAATGTATTCTGACTGTATAAAATTTTAAAAATGCCCCTAATAGCTTTTTAAAAACCTCTCTTAAGCGTAAACTCCAAATAGACTTACTTTCTGGTTAGATGGATTCCAGATTCAGATATTAGAAGCATTCATCTACGCCTGACACATGCGCATCTCTAAAACTCACAGGGGCTCCAGGGATGACCCAGTGGTGTCAAGAATTCCATGTCTCTGCCCTCTACTGGTCTCTTGGTACACAGCAGATACGAAATGGAAAAGCTAGTGCGAGTGGCAAGGGAAGAGTATAATTCAGGACTGTTCTTCCCTCTCTCCATTTATGGGGCAAGACTAAGTAGACATGACCCTAACTTCATCCCCATCCCATCTGCCCTTCTCCATTTATGTAGGCTCTATCTTGCTCCTTTCCCGTAGCCTGGAATCCACTTCTGTGGTGAGATGCCGGAACAAGCTACTTTTTGGAATTCCTCTGCCATGCGTCCTCTATGGGACAACTGCCTTTTTTATAATGCTTATGGTGAGCACAGGAGGGAACATTTCCACTCCTACTTCCTCCAGCAAAAGCCAGAGCCATACTCCTTAAAAAATACGTAACCCCTGTAGCAAGGAGCACACCTTGTGCCTAGATCTTTTCTAATACCATTCTACAATAAAAGGAACCAGGGCTCCTTGGAGAAATGATTGATTCTAGGTCTTGGCAAGGAACATACAAATGCGCCTGGAGTATCTTGTATTGCCAGAGGACAATTCCCTAACGGAAGTGCTCGGAAAACCAACCAGACAAAAAAAATACCACAATGATGAGGGTTATTCAAAAAGATACAGAAGCCAACTGGAAAAGCTGCCAATGGCCAAAGCTGGAACGATGTGTGCAACAAAACAGTAGTAGTAATAGCAGTAGAAGCTGCAGCAGCATTGGCTTATAACCCCACGTCTAAAATAAATTATCATGAGTCCATATTGATATGAACGAATGAATGAATGAATGAATGGAGGAGAACAGACAAATCTCCTATGCAGAAGAATTCCACCTAACTTATGTAGGTACTCCAACCTTAAGATGGCTGTATGGTTAAGGTTTTTGTGTCAACTGGGTAGGCTAAGGTGTTCAATTGTTTGACCAAACACCCAAACACTAGTCTAGGTACACACACACACACGCACACACACACACGCACACACACACACACTATCAGGTCCTTTTCTCTGGAGAAACCTCACTGACAGTGAGAGCATAACGCCCCTCTCCTTATGAGTGGGCTGCTCATGGTGATTTCCTTCCAAAGAGTACAGAATAGGAAGGAATAAAAGAACGAGTAGCTTTGGGGCACCTGGGTGGCTCAGTCTGTTGAGCGTGTGCCTTCGGCTCAGGTCATGATCCCAGGGTCCTAGGATTGAGCCCCCTGTCGATCGAGTCCCGTGTTGGGCTCCCTGCTCAGCGGGGATTCTGCTTCTCCCTCCCCCCTCTCCGTCTGTGTGTGCGCACTCTCTCTCTCTCTCAAATAAAGAAATAAATCTTAAAAAAAAAAGAAAGAAAGAAAAAGTAGCTTTATAGTGGAGAAACCTGACAGACACTGCCACAAGCCTGGTGATCAAGGTTAATAGCAACAGTGATAAGTCATATTGATAGCATGTACCTTCGCTATGGTGTGATAAGAATGTCACCTCTGTTATCTTCCTCCCTAAAACCCATAACCTCAGTGTCATCAAGAGAAAGACACCAGCTAAATTCCAATTGAGGGACATTCCACAGGATACTCCCCCCAAACTGTCCAAGTCATTGAAAAAAAGCAAAGTCTGAGAAGCCACCATAGCCAAGAGGAGCCTAAGTGGTATCCTAGATGAGATTCTGGAACAGAATAAGGACATTAGACTTAAAAAACAAAACAAAACAAAACAAAAAACCTAAGTAATCTGAATAAAGTATGTATAAAGTATGTACTTTATTTCATAGTAAGTGTCATTGTTGGTTCACTGATTGTGACGAAGTTACCATACTAATGTAAGATGTTAATAATAGGGGACATGGGGTATATGGTATATGGGGGCTTGTACTATCTTCATATCTTTTCTTTAAGTCTAAAACAATTATTCAATGAGTATTTATTTTTTTAAAAAAAGCTTCTTAGGGATTCTAGGGCCGCCTGGGTGGCTCAGTGGGTTAAGCGTCTGCCTTCGGCTCAGGTCATGGTCTCCGGGTCCTGGGATCCAGCCCCACGTCGGGCTCTCTGCTCGGCAGGGAGTCTGCTTCTCCCTCTCCCTCTACTCTTCCTGTTTGTACTCTCCTTCTCTCAAATAAATAAATAATCTTTAAAAACAAGCTTCTTAGGGATTCTAATGTGCTGCCAATATTGGAATCATTCTTCATCCTCAGTACTAGAAAGATGCAGGTATCCCAAGTTAGAATTCTAAAAGCATTGCACCCAATGGGGTTAGTCTGTGTGCTCCTTCTCATCACATGGGAATTAAAAAATATAGCGATGCCTCAGCTTACTCCAGACCTGTGCACTAATCTCTAGAATAAGAGAAAGGGTCAGGCTATAGGTAAGCTTAAAAAGCTTCCTTAAAAAGCTCTGAACTACAGCCCTGGATAAAAGACTTTTCCCCTTGAAGGATTCCTCATTGGGGAGGTTGAATTGGAGGTCATAGTTAGCCATGTGCTTTGGGTCCACGTGGGGTTCAGTGGGTTCTTGCCTGGAGACCCTGACCCTACTGAAGCATTCCTATGGGGAAGAGTGTTTCAAGTTCTAAACCAAGGAAGAAGCAGTACAGACTCAGTGGCTTCCCTGTGTTCAGAGAAGGAATGGTATGTGCCTTCTTTTCCAACAGTGCTCTGTGTGTTTCCCCAACAGTTCTATAGCATCAGTGGGATGCCCACAAGGAGCTTGTCAGACAACGTCTGTGCCATCTGTGGGCAGATCATTGTGGAGCTCGATGAAGAAGGGCTCACTGAGAACACCTACCAGCTCTCATGCAATCATGTGTATCCTTTTCACAGGAAGCCATACAGGCTTCATCAAGCCGTGATGGGAGGCAATTTCATATACTCTGTGTTGGTCACGGGAGTTGGTAACTCACCCTTTCCCCCTCCTCCTTCTCCTCCTCCACCTCTCAGCATCTCCTCTGCCTTGCTGAGCTAGCTCCCATCCCCCAAACCCCAGGCCTTGATCCTCCACCATCTCTCTTGTTGAGACCTTCTGATAATCCCTGCTGAAAAATGAACTGCTACTCTTCTGCTAGTAATTGCCTTTTTAAAACTGAATCTTACTGCCATACGGACTAGAAAAGCTGCAGCGTGTGCCCGAGACTCTGGCTGGGAAAGTTAGCAAAGCTGTAAGTGAACAGATAGCCAAGAAGGACCAGGGAGAGAAGGGTTTGGGGGTGAGAAAAAGTGGAGTTTCGGGTGCAGGGAGGAACTCAGGGCTCTCCAGGTGGAGCCTGGGTCTGAATCTCACAGGACTGAACACAGCAGACTGTGCCTGGAAATAATCCCAGGAACGTGCTTGTGTCCACACTGGTAGTGGGGACAGCCAAGTATCAGCTTTGGTCTTGGAAAGAGGACAAGGCCATAGGCAGCAGGATACCTTTGATTACAGAAGGAGGGACCAAACCTTGAGCACCCAGTTCTTGGACCATTTGACTCCTCTGCCTGTGAGTTCTGCCCCAAATGGCTGATGGATCTTTAGGTGTTAGGAACCAGACAAGCCTGGGCCTGGAAACTAGCATTCTTTGGGAATTCCAGTAACTGTGGAGGAAGACCTCAATATGTGGAAAGATACTGGGATCATGAGCCCCAAGCCAAGCAGCCCATGCTGCCCCAGCATATAACTCTGGAGACCAAAGTCATGTTTGGGTTGGCGGACAATCAGTATTTTAATTCTTTTGTAAATACAGGGGAAAGAAGGTGTCATTTATCTTTATTTTATAGTCAATATCAATTTGATAATGTTGCTCCACACTCAGTTCAAAGTTCTGGCATTATGAGGTGGTTAAGCCACCTGTCTTTCGCCTCTGAAGCCCACC